AACGAATCATGTGGCGACACGTGGCACATTAAAATAGATTCATAATTAATAATTTTATAAATTCTCCCAAATTCTACCATCTCGAATTTTCTCAATCTCTTCCACCTTCTCTCAATCTCCACATTTTTATGTCAATCACCATAAATTCTATCTATTTCTTTTCTTATCTCTACTTTTAATCTCCACCATTCATTTCTTTTTATGCTAGATCCAGTGACCAAATTTCATCCACGAAATTCTATTTAAATCTATCAAATTCATCTTCCTCTATACACTAATTATCCAAACAGACATCATATTTCTCTTCTCCAATTATTTTGTCCTCAAACTTTTCATTCTCTCCACACAAAAAAGTTGTCCGTATATATATATATTTTTTTCTTTTTTTGTTAGAGATACATTAAAGTGTGACATTTTAGTCATTGTTTTAGTGCAAAATTTATGTATTCTACCTTAGTGAGGTACTTTATTTTACATCATTTGAGATTTAGTATGAATGTCTAGGTGTACCTTGGGATTGTGAGAGTGGTTTAGTCCAGAACTATTGAAAAAGATCGTAGTTATTTGATCTTGAACTAGTAAAAAAGATCAATGTATAGGTTGGATCCTGAACTTGCAACAGGTTCGACAGGGAATTTTCGATTTTCGATAGCAAAAAGAGTGGTTGATCGGTTTGGTTCTCACCCACAAGAAAGTCGTCGCAGTAAAATACCAAAGAAACAAGAATATTATTGGGGACTGGAGTAGAGATTTCTAAACCACTATAAAAACTTTCGGTGTTATCCCTCTTTCGTACTCTCTTCAATTTTTGCATTTAAAATTATGTTTGATTTTTATAATTCTCGTTATCCTTGAATTCTATTTTAAAATCGAAAAGTTGGTAAGCAACTCTATTTCCATACCATCGTACAATAGTTGGGTTAGCAATGCAATAAATTCAACTAAAGGACACACATAAAGAATGCAATAAAATCACACTAGCTAGCTAGCAAAGAAATAAATTCAATTAGAGAGGACATCCAAAAGAATGCAATAATAAATGGAAAACCAAACCTTTTGTCTTTTGTGTCTTCTCATTAGTCATTTGGTCATTTTACCAAAAATGTATAAAATCCATATTTGCTATCTCTCTCTCTATCATATCACTCATTATTCCAACCCAACTTTATTTCCAATCTACCATACTTTTGACGGGGAATTATAAATATGACACAAGAGTCCAATATTACTCTGATTAAATAGATAAGATGTTTATTACCATTTAAAAGGTAGATAATTTCTCCAATTCATATAATTTTTGAACCAAAAGAAATGAGGACGGTCTAACATTATAAAATGATAACTTGAAAATGTATTTAAATATCTATAATGTAGACTACATCTGCAATATGTTAGTCACATAAAATATAATTTAACCTACTGCAATATATTGTAGATTGTTTTATGTTATACATTTCAAACTAAATTTTTTCGTGCACATTCATTTATACTTACCTAACTGATTATAACTTTTACATATATAATAAGTGTGATGGTTATAGAGATAATTAAAAAAGGAGATCATTTATTTGGTAAACAAATGTTTATGAATATAATTATGAACTCTCAAAGATATAATCAAGAACCTCAATTTTTTTAAATCTCATAATGTAATCAATGATATTAAACTCTATTAAATAGGGACTTTCCTTTAGATAAGTTCATAGGAGTTACTCAAAAGTAAAACTACTTGCAATAACTAAAGACATCGAATACAAAAAGATGACATAAATGTTTTCTTCTAAAGACAAATAATACATAAATAGAATAGAAGTATGTCATTTATTTAACCAAAAAGTCTCGAGCTTTATTTATCACACAATCTATACACATATAAAATGGACTACAAGAAATTTTTTCTCCCTATTTTGTTATTTTATTTTAGATATTTTCATAATTATTTCGGAGGCAATTTTGTCATTCAAATATAATCTTTTCTTTTCTCTTTCTTCCACGCCACTTCCTTCCATTTTTTTTCCTCTTAATTACACTTTATTTTATTATTTAATCATGTCAAATGTTAGAAGGGAAAGAGTTAGAATATGTATAATTTATCTCTTTGTTTCTATGAATTAATTTAAAACATCATAACTTATTTTTAATTATAGTTAATAAGTAATTTTAAAAGTTTTGTAACTCTTTATCTTCTACCACTATATAAAGATATAAAGAGTATATGAAAGTGCACGTGTTTTGTACTAATATAACTAAGGGTGCTATAGTTCGGGTTATTGGATTGAGTTGAGCTGGGCCAAAAAACTTCTTCGATAATTGTTCGAGTTACAAATTGGTTCGCCCAAACGACCCTTGGTGGGATGGACCCAATTCAAGTCAATCATAAAATATTGAGTGGGTTGATTTGGTTAAGTTGTTTATCTTTACTTGTTGTATTTTACTTATGAGAAATTTTCAAGTAATCGACACTATATCTTCTCTTTTTTTTTTACATCATTCGGATCCGTGGGTGATGATAATTATTGAGACATCAATTTTATGAGACAAACATGGAAAAATACAAAACAAAAAAAAAAAAAAACTCAGTGAGTTAAATATTGAGAGATAAGAGAGCTCAATTATAGTTTAACTATTTAATTAATTTTTATGTTTTATACTTTAAAATAAAACTATGAAAGTGCACGTGTTTTGTACTAGTGTAACTAAGGGTGACTATAGTTCAGGTTATTGGATTGAGTTGAGCTAGGTCAAAAAACTTCTTCGTCTCAATTTAATTGTTCGAGTTATAAATTGGTTCGTCCAAACGACCCTTGCTAGATGGGATGGACCCAACTCAAGTCAATCATTCGGATATTAGAGCATTTGTTTAAATTTTTGTGAAAATATTAGTTCGATTATGCATTTTCTAATTTTCCAAACCTTGTTATTAAACTCAATATCAATTTTTATACTATGAGAATTTATATCTCTAAGGCTTGAAAGAAATTATTTTCTAAAAGTTGTTAGGAGGAAACAATCTGAAAAGATGTATTAGTCGGCCCTATTATCACGTTTGAAGTTTAAAATTCGGTCCAAATTTAATCAGATCCGATTCAAGGTCAACATTTGACCAGCATGACCCAGTCCAACTCATTCCTAAATTAGATTGGATATGGATCTTTATGTTTTAAATTGGACTAGCCCGTTTGGATTATATTTGGAGGGACCGGTCCAGAGTACTATCTTTTCATATACCATCTAGGAGTAATATCTTTTTCGAATCATTTTTGGTTGAGTCGGGAAAAACCCATCGAGAAAGACAAAAATTTTTACTGTGACCAGCTCAGGCCCGCTCCAATATAATCAAATATTATTATTATTATTATTATTATTATTATTATTAATTGGTATTTGGATTTTTTTTTTTGACATTTTCATTCATCTAAATTTTTTATATTAATATATTAATACAGTTTATGTTTTAAAAATAAAATAAATGAAGTTGTAAAAATATGATATAAGGGAGTTGTTTATTGACAATTTTTTGAAAAATAAAGAAAATTTTACAAAAGAATAAAATAAAAACACAAATTTTAAAACTCAAAAACTTTGTTTGAAAAAATATTTTAAAAATAATTTATTATATGAGTTAATTTAAATCCGATCCAGAGGATCAATCCAAACTCGATTCAACTTTGATCTATTGAGTTAGGTTCCTGGATTGAGCAATAAGCTTAAATTTTAAGTGGAGCCGACCTAAACAATGCTTGAAACCCGTGAGGCTCAAGACTAAATTGAGCTCAAACCTTTCCTTCTTTGGTTAGGCGGGCTGATAAGGGTGAGATGTATGAAATGATATAAAATTTAAAATTTAAAAGTATACATGCATGTATATCTAATTTTATTTTCAAGTAAAATATATTCTTAATTAATAATAATCTTGGCCTCTTCTTGGTTCAACCCAAACTACTAATTTTACCATCAATCATGCATATTCTTAGCCCATAAAATTTCATTTCATTTTAACTCGACCTAGCTCAAGTAGACTTATAACTGACATAATTTGTCCAATTTAAATTAGACTAGTCAACCTTTTTCGAGCATATTGTTTGAATATACCCCTAAATATAATCACTGATTTTAAACTGTAGCAAACAGACAATATATCTAGATAGAAGACAACTTGAAACGTACACGTAAAAGTACCTAACTCGAATGAATGAACCAACGCAATCAATTGATATTTCAACATATTTGAACTAAACTCGACCTAGTACAAATTGAGAGTTAGACAATACGTGCTTTTAAAGTCATTGAATTTTTTTGTACACCTTTGATAAGTTGGTAACTAATAAATGAGATGTAGACCCCATTTGAGAGTCACACTTGAACTTCCATAGTCTTTCACATGGATAAGTTCACACACTCCTATTATCATCAAAAATAAAATAAAAAATAAAAATAAAAAGGGTTTGGTGGGTAACTTATGGTTCATTTGCATGTTAATGATAACTATAGGTTAGTAGTAGCTTTAATTTCTTCTCTCTCTTGCTTTTGTTTCTGAAAAATTCAATGATTGAAATTAAACATTATATTGGTAAAGCCCTAAGGCAGCAGATTGAGAGTAGTTTTGGAGGGTCCCAAAAAATAAAAATAAAAGTTTAAATACTATTTCCGTACTTTCTCTAGAATGATTATTTTGACCGCTTTATTTTTATTTTTAGCATGATACTTCACTCACTAAATTTTTTTAAACAAAAATCATAAATTTGAATCAAATAGTTTTCATCATGCATGTAATTTGTATTTAAATTTTATAAATGGAGACAAAAAAAATTATCTTTTTTTTAGGTACAGAGACCAAAACGAGCGTTTTGATGGTATATAGACTAAAATAAACAAAATTAAAAGTACAAAATCAAAAAGTGAAAGTATTTGGACAAAAATAATATTTAAATAAAGAAAAAGTTTTAATAGAACTTTAGGATTCTCTCATCATCCCTTATCAGCGTTGCTTCCTTCTTATGCTCTCTCTCTTGAAGAAGAATAATGGATGCCAACTGGTCCAAAACCACATCTCTTTCAGTTGTTTTTAAGGTGAAAGTACTGTTTTTATCTCTCTTTCTCATCTCTTGCAGTTCTCTCTCTTTATCCATACTTTTTGTTACAAGTGTTCATATTGTCAGGGCAATTGAGCCATCAATCATATTCAATTGGAAGTTGAAAGGTTCTGGTTTTATCCTTTTATTTGTTTTAATCATAAAAGTTTCATTTAAAAAAAAATCCAAATGTATTTTGTTTGGATGACGTGAAAAATGAGCTACGATTTTGGAGGAAAGAAGAATAACTCGTTGTAATTCTTAACATTGTGTTGTTCCTAAATCGTATTTATTGGAAGGAAGAATCACAGCATGCCACATGTGGGTCGAGAATGGAGTTCGGCCATCAACCTATGGATATCAATCTATAGAGATCAACCCCTTCGACTTGGAGCAACAAATGAAGGAAAGAGAAATCCCTTAGCACGTCATGCTCAAGCCAAGGGGTTGGGGCCTTCCCTGACCCGTACATTTGGGAGTTATTAAAGCGAAATCAATGACTGCTTTGATTACCTCTGCGATCCCAGCCGTAATTCTCACAACGGGAAGATTCCACTTGACCTTATAAATACACCGTAATTCTCACAACGGGAAGATTCCACTTGACCCTATAAATACACTCTCCCTTATCCACTCGGTGAGGTATGCAATTCTTTTTGAAACCGACTTAGAAATTCGGATCTTGAACTGACTTAAGCACCAGAGTGCTTTTTCTTTGCTTACAGATCTTTCTATTCAGTCCGCTCGAGTTTCACCTTGTGAATTTTGGTAGAAACAATGCTAAATGCTTTTCATAAATGCTTAAACTAAATTTAGAGTTTAGTAAGACAAGATTTTAGTTACACTAATGGCATAGTTTGAGTGACATTTCCCCCTTTATGATCTTATGACGATTCAATGTTTTAGGGTGACTTGCTAAGTAATTGGATATGCAATTATCACACAATTTGATAATTGAATGATGCTTGGTTTGATTAGGCACATCGAGCTCTAGTCATGTGATCTAGTGCCAAAGATGATTCCAAATATGATCATATATGCATTATCTAGTATCACTTATCTTCTTAAATTGATTGTTGTATGTCGGGTGAAAACTAGGTTTTAACAATTATTAATTTTTAATATGAAAGTTTCACTCAATAACAAGATTATACAAATTTCGTCACAAACTGCCAACCTGAGAGCAGTTCAACTAGCTAATGCACTTATTTCTGACTAAAAAGGTCGTGAGTTCGAATCTCCACCTCTTAATACTTCAATTAAAAATGACCTTTCAAAAGTGAAGAAAATCTTTTTAAATATAGAATTCAAAGTTGTGTATTTAGTTTAGTGATTTGTTTTCAAACAAGAATTTGAAAACAACAGATTTAATGGAAACACAAGGGTTAAATGTTTTCACTATAGCATATTCCAAACAAAACAAAAGCGATATCATTATCAAACCGGCCTAAAAAGTTAAATTTTTATATTAATTATAATTCTTTAACTTATATTTTAATGATTAAAAAGCAGATTAAATGTTGCTATCTCCCTCTTTTCTAAGCCTTTAAACACATAACCCTACATGGTTTCCACTTACCACACGCAATTAACCAAAGTGTGAGATTAATTAGTTTAATTAAAGCTAAAATTTAATTATTAGATGTCGTTGAGCTGTCTTGTCCAATAAATTAATAATTAAACAAAAAACCTAAATTACATAAATATCCTTTGAATTTTTGTAAGCAAAAAGTAAACGTCCATCGTTTTCAATGGTATAATATATGATATAGTTGAAGGGTATTCTAGTAATTTAAAATGAAACAAATAATTTTATTTTTTTTCTTTTCTTGTTTTGCTTTTTTAAAGGTAAGAAAAAAAATTGAGTTTGGCAACTTCCCACCATTAATGACATTCGACATGTCGCTATCAGGCAAAAAGGCCACTTTAATGGGCTTGTTTGGAGGGCCCACCATGGACCCAAAAAATGCTTTGTGAGAGGAAAAAAAAAAGAATAAACAAATCTTTAATTATTTTAACTCATGATTAATTGTCGTTAATTCTTTGTTTAATTTCCACATTCTCCACGCCTCCCATTGGGATTGAGCGCCGACAAAATGCCACGTGTATGACTATGATTTGTTATACTCTTTTCGTTCACGCTATAAATCTTCATTCGTAATAATTATTTGATACTAATGTTGATGCAATTTTTTTTTTACAACATGAGGGGTGGCTTAGTTAGATATATATTTAATTACCGCGCTGAACTATACTCGTTTTGACTGACGTTAACACAATTAGTAATGGTCAAATATTAGTATATTAGTATTTTAATGGGTTTATTTTTGTCAACTTGAACGTAGTTTAGCGTTAATTAATATGTACTTTTTATTTTCAAGGTCGGAAGTTCAAGAGTGTGTCAACATTTCCATCAGGATTTCTATATGACAATAGTTTCAATATCGACATAATGAATGAATCGAAATTTTCATAGTATCGCAAAAAATCAACACAATATAAAAAGTATCTACGAAATATTAACAACATACACATAATATTAATATTAATAAATATTAACTTATTTAGAAATGGTGAAATCTTTATTTGCTAATTTAAATATTTGTTATGAATTTTTAATAATTTTCCTAGAAAAATCCATATCGACATCTACATGTTATCAATATTTTCATCAAAATTCCAATAAAATTGAGATCTCAACATTCTCATCGACAACAACATTTAAAATTTTAATATTAATAAAGAATAAGTACCATTTAAAATTTTCTCTTAATTTTAGGATTAGATAGTCAACTTCGAAATTAAATGACTCAAAATGGCCAAAATGAGCATGACCGAAGGCATATTGCTTATTTTCAAAATGTGTGAGGTTCAATAATTTATTCCCACATTTATTGGACTAAAAAAATGACTCAAAATAGGATTTCAAACCAAATTTTTTATTAATAAATGAAAAAGAGAATTCCATTTAAAAAAAAAAGTAAGGAGTGATGCTTGGTTTGGTTAAGAGATGTTTAAAATGCTTTAATTATTCTGTTCATGAGAACATGTTCTTAGGTTCTAAAATTTTAAAGAGAGGGACGTGGGGTGGGTGGTGCTATCCCATAATCTCTTCTAAAATTTACTTTTCAATCCATATATTTTGTTTTTTTTATTAATTTAGTCCCTACAATTTTAAAATTTTTATTTCGATTCATATACTTTGGTCAATTTAAATAATAGTCCCTGTTTATTAGTAAATTGTTTATTAATTTTGATGTGGATGGAACATAGTTCAACTAATTAAAAGTTTTTGTAATTTTTTTTAGGTTTAAATACTATCTTGACTCCTATAATTTCAGCTTTAGTTCATTTTGGTTCTTATAATTTCAACTTTTGTTTATTTTAGTTCTTGTAGTTTTTAAATGTATGTGTTTAATCCCTGTGATTTTGAAAGTGACAATTTTAGTTCATATATTTTTAAAAATTAAAACAAATTCTATATAAAATGAAACCATTAAATACAAAGATATGATTATATTTCAATAAATATATTGAGTATAACGTCGTATTGAAATTGTGAACCAAAAAATGAGATAAGAAATAAATTGGTCAAAATAGTCACTTTTTAAAATAACATTAACCAAAATAAATGTTTTGAAAGTATATGGATCAAAATATACCAAAGTCGAAAGTAACGTTGACAAAAATAATATTTAAATATTTGTTTTGAAGTGTAGTTGGTTTGAATTATCATTCCTCGATTTGAATGGTGATATTGAACAAATTATTAATTTTAACGAAATTGACCTAGACTTTTTTTTTTTTACCATGCTAGTTGTATTTATTTACCAAATTGATATGGACTTACTATCTTTTTTTTTTATGTTAAAATTTTCATCCAAATTCAATCAATTCAAGGATAGTGGATTTCTATACATTATTATTATTATTATTATTATTATTATTATTATTATTATTATTATTATTATTATTTTGAGAAAACAAGGAGAGTAGAAACTATTGATAAGACTTAAATAAAGTAGCATGACCTAAGAAAAAATTGACACAAAGTGGTAAAGTACAAGGACAAGAAATATACTTTAACATTAGGAAAAAAAATTGATTAAAAAAGTTTATGGTAATGAGATAAGTATGCTTAATTAATTAATTTATTAATCACCAATTAAAGTTTGCTTTAGAGGAAGCTAATCATTATTATAAGGTCCTTTTCTATATCCACATTGAATAGAAAATTCCTCCCTCACACACACAAATATTGGTTTTTTTTTCCTTAATAATATATATATATATATATTATATATATATATATGTGTGTGTTTTTCTTTTACAATTATTTTATCAAATTTTTCATGTAATTCATTGAGAATAAAATAGTGGTTTAATATAATTTCAAAAGTCAAAGAATTAAAATTTAATATAATTAAAAATTTTAAGTTTCAATTTCTTCCCATTAATACCCAAAAATATTGTTTCACCAAGGACGTTTTGACTGAACAAAAAGAAGTGCAATATAAAATACCAAATCTAAGTCTATCTCAATTAGTTAAGACATGTATCTTCTATTGAAATATCGGAGATTCAAATCCTCACCTCTACATGCTGTTAAAAAAAAGGAAGATACAACAAATCTCCCAAATTTTTAATTTCAAATTAAAATTTGTCGTTGTAAGCATATTTCTATATATAAGAAAAATGATATGTATATGTATCTAAAAAATACGTAGTACTGTAGATTCGAATCTATAACCTTTAGGACATATGTATATAATGTTTAAGTAAGTTTTTTTTTTAATAATGTCTTGAGTAATTTTGCTATCTTCGAGTTGAAATAATTGAAAGAATTAATAGGATAAATTTTATCTAGTGGCCAAATTTGACTAAAAAGAAGAAGACCAAAGGAAGGGAACAGCCACCATAAATCATGGGGGTAAGCTTCATTTGGGGATCATGTTTAATATTAGCTAATTTATATATCAAGTACATTTTCAAGGACGAATGGTCGAATTGGTCGGTTTCTAACTTGAACGTATTATTTCTAATACTAGAAACGAATCTTGGGATTTATTCTATTTTGATCATTTGAACTTTTCAAAATTTCTAAATTAAAAAAATAATAAATTGGGTTCGATATCACGTCACATATTTGAAGTCCATTATCTATTTATTAAACAGTACCTAACTAAATTCTGAGGACGACAAGTTTTAAAAAATTAAGAACTAAAATATGTATATTAAAATTTTAGGGAGTAAAATAAAATAATTATGAGAGTTTTAAATGACTAAAAAAAATTAGAATAGTAAGCACTTTGAATTTTACAGTAAAGTTGAAGAGAGTAGACAAAAAGTAGGTTTTTCCCATCATTACTTTATGGGGAAAAACTCTTTAATTAGGTTTGAATTATTCAAAAGCTAGGGAATTTTGGCTCTATATTGTGTACATTTAAATTCCTTAATTAATAAAATATTTAATTATTTTGTCAACTTTTTTTTTTTTAATAACACCTTGTTTGTAAATTCATCATTTTTATTAATTAAATAACAATATGCCAAATTTCCTAACCACCACCATTGCCGACCTATAAGAATAATTAAATATTTCTAGAGGGAGAATGAATGTAAACATTTTTTGTCCTTTTAGATGGATTAAAAAAAAAGTTTTGGATTTGTAAGAAAAGTTATTGATTTAAACAGAAAATTTTAAATATTAGAATCTGACTTTTAAAAAAATATTTCGAAATTTTTATTGGTTTAAAAAAAATA